GACATGTTGTCGTCTCGCCTTATTTGAGACATTTATGTCTTGTTTTAGATAATTTTAGATTGTTGGCGAGTGGCTGTATATATTTTTGAGGTGGTTGTGGGTGGTTGTTGAAATGTTTGAGGTGGTTGTAGGTCGTTCCATGTTTTAGTACTTATGCCTTGTTCTTGTGACCTGTTCATTTGTAGCAAGGCTATTCGTATGTGGCAATAGAAAATTAAAACAGAGAACATTTGGTACGTGCATTTTTAAAAAACATGTACTGTACATTATTTAGCATAGCAATGATCATCTACGGACACACCTGCTGAAATTGTGCTTGATGTTGGTTTTGTTTCATCTGTTAAAAGACATGGAGAAACACAGATCGTTTAGTACTTTTAACATTTTTTTCACAAATTCTATATGGCATAGTTGGGAATATACACTAACTTTTTCTTACTTAAGCTGGTAATGAAGTTGCATGAAGTATAATTCCAGATATGGTTCAGGTAAAATGGGGATGAGTTGTTGTGAGTTAGTGTTGAATTGAAACTTGAAGCTCACTTCTTTCGTCTCAGGCTTGAACAATTTGAGTTCGAGACGCAAGCATTGTGTCGATATCAAGTTTCCCGTATACTGTGGTACAGTTTATGACTTTGAAAGATCTAATGAGGGTTTGAAGTGCAAGGCTCTAAGGTTGATTTACAAGCTTGCTTAATTTGAGAAATAGTAAAAATTATTTTTTTCTTGGATGATCAAGTATAGTATTTCATGTTCACTACCTCTAGAGATGGTTCCAGTCAAGTCTTTGAATCCTCTCAAAATTTGAAGAAGTGTTTATTATACAAAGCAATAAATTCATTTTTTTATAAACTGTATTTTAAAAAGTATGTTAATAGTTGGGGATGTGTGTTTTACATTGCAGCTGAACATAAGTATGAGTAAAATAATGAAATACTTGCTTTTGTAGTCCTTTTTTGGTGTGTTACACCTTTTGGTAAAGAAATTTTGAAAAAGTGATGTTCATGCTCTTATAGGCAAACAACTTGAATTATGGTGAGCTATGTTTTAATCATTGTTTTGAATTAAAACTTACCATAATGAAGTTAGTTGCAACGCTGTAGTATTCTTTAATTGGTTGTGAGGCATACATTTTCTTCTCACAGAATGCAGTTAGAGTGGTTAGAGTGGTGAGTTTAAGTGGTTAAATTCTGCTTAAGGCAGCAAATGACATGCCATCTTGAAAGACAGTTTCATTTGCATCAATGACTGCTTTAGATAGTGTAAGACCTTGAACTTTGTGGACTCTTGCAACAGGGTTTCAATGGCAGTTGCGTTTTTTCCACAAACTGACTCCCTTGAGCCAAAAGAATTGTTTTGTAAATGGATTTAATCCCACAGACTCAGAATTGGATGAATTAATTTTTACAGCATCAAACTTTGCTTTAACCGTCTGAGGCGTAACATGACTATTGTTTGTAGTTCTGCATTTGATGGGAATCATGTTTGTTATTGTTCCAATTGCACCATTTACTAATCCTCTTGACGGATCAGTGTTCTTTGAAAGCATTACACGCATTCGCAATCTCTATTGAATTTGGAAGCCCTCCACATTCTTGCACATCCTCAGGAAGAAAGTCATATTCAGTTTCATATGGCTGAATTTTGTGCTTGTTAAGGAGAATGTCTTGTTTTGAACTATATGCTGAAGAAGTTGTAGTAGGTTTTTCACTGTTGTATTCATTGCATGCTGATCTGGTTGGGAATATTCATAGAGCCTCTAAGAATTGAGTTTTGAACTGTATGCTAAAGAAGTCGTTTTAGGTTTTCACTGTAATAATATTCTTTGGGCTTCATCAAATTCAGGGTCATTTAAATGCAAATTTAATTTTGAACTAAGGAGTTCAATATCTCTAGAAGTTTAGTGCCCAATTCTTACTCGTGCAGGTCAGTAGGTCAGCACATTGTACGTCACTTATTTGCCGCTCGTTATTTTCTAACTTGACAACTTCAAATAGGTCTGTTCAAAGGTGAAATGCAGGCGGTTGTTTTGTAGAGATATAGGAACCCAAGACTGGTTTGAGTTGGAAAAAAATCACCAAATTCCAAAATGTTGACTCCTGAAAATGGAAGAGGAGATCCATAATATCTAATAGTCTTAGACGAATTTGCATTAACACCTTGTAGCTAACCATACTTATTTCATCAGTGATTACTGTAGATTGACCATAAATTGCGTAACTTTTGTAGACACTCTAGACTAAGGCTAGTGTAATCATCAGTCTTTTGATTTTGTGAGTCACTGGCAAGTAAAATGCCCCGTGAAGAGTGTCTTCCCAAATATTAAATGCAGCAACACCTGTAGGTGCTGTCTTGATAACTGAAATGTTAATGTCATAAGGTGCTCTTGGAAGGTAGTCATTTATCACAGATTTAGGGAAAGATTTTCCTGTTCCACCCGCACCCGTAAGGAGAAGAAACAATGGATTTGGCTTTTCTGTTGAGATCGAAAGCTTTGTGTTGCTCATCATTTAACTGCGATATTGCTTTGTTAAACTGGCTGTTATTCATAGTGTACAGACTTAGTGTTTCCCACTGAAGTCAGTATCAGATACTTCCTCTGAATATCAGCATCAACTGTACTGTCATTTGCGGTTATCATTAGTTTTTGCCAAGGTTCCATAAATTTTTCTGCCTTTGTAGATTATTAAAACTACATATTAAGTGGGAGTATGACAGTGATAGTTTTTCTACAGTCATAATACCACTATGGATTTCATATCTTTAGGTTCAGTTTGGGTCGGGTGTGACAGTTGATGGAGTGCTATTGGAAGAAACTCTTGAAGACCCTAATGGTAAATGTATGCTATTTCATTTGATTTCGTAAAAGTAGAGATAACAAAACTGCAGAAAAATTAGGTTTTAGACCAACCTTTTTAAAATATAAACGAGGTTTTTAAGCATTAGTAACATATTAAATTATTTTGTTTATCTCAGAGTGTCGTGTTAAAGTGTAATAATTGTATTTTTATCTGTCACACTGCATGCAAACAAAAATATCATACCTGAGTAATTCACTAGTGTCTCTGCCCAAATTAGGAAAGGATACAAGAAATGTTTTGAAGTATATATGATTAACTGAGTACGAATTCTTTTTTACAGACGAGACAAACCACAAACCCAATGGGAAATAAGAAGAAGAAGAAGAAAAATAAAAAAGGTAAAAAGTAAGGGAAATAACCAGGTTAATAAGCCAATCGAAAAAAGCGTCTGCCCTGGAGATGGAGAATGAATTAGCTTTTATTAAATTTGACTTTTACTTAATTTATGTCTGGTCGTGTGATTGGTTTTCTTACTCCAGTCAGATGTACCTTATTTACATCAAAACTAGCAAAATTTAATGAATGTAAAGTAAAAACCCGAAACAAATAAATATTCTAGGTGTGAGTTTTCATATTCTTGAACTGACTTTAGTCGCTGAGGACTGTGTGTATTGTTTGAAGTTTATGTGTTAGGTTTACTTAAAAACCATGTTAATAGGAGAACACTATTAAATTTCTAAAGTAAGCCTTAAGCGCTTCAGTTTGGGAAAATTCCCTTTCCATTGGTGTACAATTTTCTTTGGGGGGGGGGGGTGATATTGTGTTTATGTTTATAAAGTTTATTATTAACTGTATTATATTGACTCCTCATCCATAGTAAATAACTTGCTAAATGCTTTATTGCCACTGTTAATGTTGAATAATCTAACATGTCTATTCATATGTAGAACTTTGTGATCAGGGATTGCGTGTTTCAAACAATGAGAATAGTTTAATTTTGAGCTACCGATTTTGTTAGGTAGGTTTTTTTCTATACAAGTGTTTGTACCAGGTTTCTGAAATTAAAACACTCATTTTTAATCCTTTTACATAGCACGGGATATACATTGAATTTTGTATATATATTTTTCTAAATTTATTTAAAGTGTTATGAAGTTTATTAAAAACTCAGTGTCATGCCATGTTATGAAGTACTTTTGTTGGGAGGTGGCAAAGGTTTTGTCAAATAATTGTGGAAACAAACCGGTCATAACATTTTGTCTCCTCTTAGACAAATAATGTTCTGTTACTGCTACTGGACGGATTCAAGTATTGTGCTACTCTCTCTATATTTTTGTTGTATAATTTTATTTACATCAACACTTTTAAGGAAAAAAGTAAACACATTGACACGGATGTGACAACAAAATAAAAGCTATCGATCAAAGGAGTTTCCTAACTGTTAGTGTCATACAATATGCCACAGCAACAGGAGATAAAAACTACTTTGAAACAGGAGTATACTATTTTGAAGACTGTTTCCATGCATACAATAAATTCTTATTTTCATTATTTTTAAACATGAAGCGATATCTCTCTTACAAACAAGTCTAGACAGGGAATGGGCCTAGGACATTGAAGCCTGAGGGAAATGATCGATCTGCAAGACATTGTACGTCGTAAAGTTATCCAGTCAGGGTTAGACTGTATTGCAGACTAACCAATTAGTGGGGGATCCCCCCCCCCCCCCAATCTCACCAAACCAAATGAGCGATTCTGCTCAAAAGGTCAATTTTGTTAAAAAGACAATTCCCACCAATATTCTTCTAGGGCGGCTCTCTCTTGGTTAACAAGATGTGATTATTATATTGAGGTAAATGAGTTGGTGTTACCATATGGAAGCGGGCATACGCAGTGTATTTTTTTCTTTTAGAAAGGCTCGGGCACCACAATAACCTCTTACTAACCGAGCAGGAAGGCCTAACTGGGTATTATCATGTGACCCGTACAGCCCCGCGCGTTATTTCGTAAATTAAAAAAGAAATTTGTATTAGGGCCATAAGTGTCAACGTGATAGGGCTGGAAAAAGGGGTCGTACACTAGAAATATGTATGCCTCACAAAATCGTTGTCATTTAAAATTAATGGCAAAGAATTTAGAATTTTAAAACGTTTTATTTCTTTGGTAAAATTTAATATTCTGAAAGAAAATTTTGCTATCTTGGCGAAATTTCTGACGCAGAACTATTTCAGTTGCCAAGCTACTCCGAAAGTACAGGTATTGACCTCCTACTTACTCCTCCTAAACGAAGAGCAAAAATGGTCATATGATGAAATGCTTATTGACTGAGCAAGGTCGGGCAGGATGGGAAAAGATTTAACTCTCGAGCCAATATTCCCTTGAATAGCTAGGTAAATAAATAGTTTATGACATGGCATTTGGACCATGCTTGTTTTGAATTTCTTGCTCGTTGTTAAATTTTTAATAAGTGTCAAAAGACGCGCCAAACTATGATTCTGCATTCACCAAAAAAAAACCAAACAAACAATTAACATGAAGCACGAGGTACTCCTGTCAATTTCGATTGGTTGTGTCCTGCCAAGGGTCTAAGTTCTGGTCTACGAAAATTGATATTCTATTAAGAAAATATATGTATTGTTGACAAGGAAACAGAAGTCACTAGATGTAGTGTTGAACATGTTATAAGCCAAGCAATGCTTTTAAAGCTGCAAAGTCAAAAATGTCACTGAAAAAAGGTGACTTCGACATTCTAGCTCTTATGGTTGAGAGTTACTATAAAGTATACTAAGAGTTCTTCTGACGCCTCCTACGGCACAAAATCTTCTGCTTTACCACACCTCACACTTCCTCACAGGGTTCATGGTACTATTGGTAGGACAATTAAACGCTTCAGAGAACTCCCTGAAATTAGAGAGAGTTCCAATAACCCTGCAGTAAAGAAAAGAAAATCGTTTTAGCCTCCAGAAGAGAACGTCATTCTTTGTAGTTCCTTGTCAAATTTACAGTCGAACCTCTCACTAAGGACACCTCCCTAATGCAGACAGTTTCCAAAGTCTCAACAAAGTTACCAGAACATTTTCTTTAAAAAAAAGTGGCCTCTGTAACATAAGGACCTTCTGTACCGCGGACTACAGACGCACACCCTTAGTCAAAGGGGAAAATTTGGGAAAACCTAACCTTATCATTATGGACACTGTTGATCAGGCTATAATAGTTAGAGTACATGTTCTTTAACAACTTTATTTGGCTCATATAAAACTAATACAGTAAAACAATGTATATGATAAATCGAATACAAAAGATACAGCAAAAACAATAACTGAGGGAGCAAAGCAGACTAGTGTGAACAGGACACAACGAACCATGCGGGGCACCGTTTGTGGGATAAAAAACCACAGAATTATAAACATGATAAATATTATTTAGGAGAAAAGAAACTAGAAACTGCTGGTGACAGGAGCAGGATCGCACAATTGTCCAAGTATAGGAATGATTTACATCCAAGCAATTCTGATGAAGACGAGGCCCGTGCTGACAAAAAAAAATTCTGGAATGACACTTTAGTTGAAAAATTGATAGAAAGTGATAATCTTCGATGCAATTCCAAAGTTTTACAATGAGGTTGAAGTAAAAAGCCTGGAAAGAACCTGTTTTTTCGAATAGGTGTTTTAGGATTTTAAGAAGTACTTGGTCTGGCTCGGCAGTGGGAAACAAAGGAGACAAATTTATGAACTTTGAGATTGGTAAACCATTCAGACATGAACGAGGTCTTTGAGTTCTTGGTCATAGAATGGAGGAAGAAGTTATAGAGCCAAAATTCTGTCCCTGTATGACATCTCGCTAACGCGTTTTTTGAGGATCCAGCATGTGGCCCTCTTCCACCCTTTTAACTTGAGTTTTAAGTGATATCTGATTTGGGGACCAAAGTGCAGTATTATAGGACAACTGCGACTTCACAAGTGTCAGATAGCATTAGTGCCTCAACTGGCACATCAGTTAACACCAGGCAGCCCAGCAGACAAGCCCCAGCAGCCTGTTGGCCTTAGCGATGATGGCGTGAATATGTATGGCACAGATTCATCGGCAGTCCATCACAGGCGATGTTGACTGAGAAACAGTTAAGTCCTGCAGGAGCGTTGAAGCACTACAAGTCCAGCATGTGAGCGGCACAATCTACTGCAACGGTTGCATTTAAGACCATCAGTTGTCGGTGCATGCCTCCTGTTGTGAGCTGCTTGATATTTCTTGAGGCGATTCTGCTCGACAGCGGCAATGCTTTTATGGACCAGTGATTGCCACTTCTTTCTGTCCATTGCATCTTCCTCCCAAGTTTGGGTGTTGATGTCCACATTCTTCATGTGTCTCTTTAATACATCTTTGAAGCACAGTTTTTGTCCACCGCGTTTTCTCCTTCCAGAGCCGAACTCTCCATAAAACACAGATTTGGGGAATCTGTTGTCAGACATACAACACATATGACCGGTCCAATGCCCAATGCCGCTATGATGAAGTGACGACTGCCTCCACACTAACTGTATTGGCTCAGTTTAAGACTTCAACATCTGGTACTTTGTCTTGCCAGCGAATACCTAGTATCTGGCAAAGATGGTGTTGTTGAGTTCTGGTGAGTTTTCTGATGTGCCTACTGTAAAGGATCATGCATTCAGTTCAGTAAAGCAGAGATGGTAGAACAGCTGCTCGATGATTTTGGAGGTTAGCTTGATGTCATGCCACAGCCATGGCCGCTGCTGTAGAGAACCAAATGCTTTATTAGCTGCTTGTATCCGCCTTTCAACTTTCAGGTCTAAGGAGTTGTTATTAGTGACTGTGCTACCAAGGTAGGTGAAATTTTTCGCTTTTTGCAAGGCTGATTCATTCAAAATGATGTCATTGCATGTATGTGGTTTGTTTGGAGGGGGTTGATAGAGCAGCTCTGTTTTAGACACATTTCTTTTCATGACAAATTGACAAGCGGCACAGGAGAGACTCTGCAATTTCTTGGATCACATCAGGATCTGTTGAAACAAGGGCAGTATAATCAGCAAAGAGTAATTCCCTTATACAGATTTCCCTTGTTTTAGTGGAGGCTCTGATTCTAGCAAGGTTAAAAAGTTTACCATCTGTTCTTGTCGTGATGAACACTCCTTAATTGAGGTTGGTACTCATTGTTTCTAGGACAGCCACAAGATAGAGAGAAAAGAGGGTTGGTGCCAGTACACAACCCTGCTTGACACTGTGATTGATAGTAAAGGGTTCCCTTGTGTCTCCAGCGATCCTAACAGCACCTGTCATTCCCTCATGGAAGAGCTTGATGGTCTGCACTACATTCTAAGGACAACCATACAGCTTCAGAACCTTCCATAGTATCTTCTGATCAACCGTGTCGAAGGCCTTGGAAAAGTCAACAAAATTCATATACTGGGGCTGATTTTGTTCAATTGCTTTTTCCTTGTAGCTGTCGTAATGTGAATATCAAATCGATCTGCCCTGAAACCACACTGGGTTTCTGGTAAAACTTCCTCTGCGATTTTCTTGATACGATTTAAGATGATTTTTGCTAGGATTTTGCCAGCTATTGAAAGCAACGAAATGCCTTGACCATTTATTTTTGTTGATAGTAATTATGACCGCATCCTTGGAGTCCTGAGGGATGCACTCATTTGACCAGCATGCATTAAATAATTCAAGCAGTTATTTTCTAAGCCGTAGTCCTCCATGTTTCCACGACTCAGCGGGAATATCATCTTGACCCGGGTCCTTGCCTCCTCTGGTGCTTTTTGGTGTCTTCACCAATTCATCATCTGTGATGGGATCTGATAGTTCCTCCCTGGTCTCTCTTTGTTGTGTCTTGTGGCAAGCACTCTGATCTGCTGCTCCCCGTTGGTTTAGAAGATTACAAAAGTTCTCTTTCCACCTGACCTTAATATCTTCTAAATTTGTGTAGAGTTGACACCCAACAGCACTCAGCACAGGACCAACTGCATTTGTCTTTGGCTCATAAATGGCTTTTAACCCATTGTAAAGTCCGCAAAGGTCATGCTTGTCAGCCATATCTTAGCGCTCCTTTGCTTTGACATTCCACCATTTGTCTTTCATGGCTTTGATTTCTCTCTGCACTTTAGCTTTGACTTTTCTTAAGGCTGTCTTGGTGTTGTCAGTGTTCTCTTTCAAGTGGTTGCAGAATATTCTTTGCTTCTCTTCCAACAAGCTATGGATTTCCTGAGAGTTGTCTTGAAACCAGCCTGGTGTTCTTCTTGTTGGGTGTCCAAGTATTTCCGTTGATGTAGTGTAGACTGTTTCTTTCAGTATATTCCAGCTACGTTCTACATCAACTGCAGTGTCCATATTCATGGGCCCTTTTGCTTCTAAGGCTTCTGTGATTGTTGTGGCCAAACCCTTCTGTCAGTCAATTTCTTTTAGTCTTCTCACATTGATTTTCTTGTGGGAGAAATTGCTTGCCTTTTCCTTCTTGGGAATGCTAGTCTAAGTCTCACATGTGAGCGTATCATATAGTGGTCTGTTGAGCATTCAGGAGTTTTCATAGACCTCGTCTAAAGAATCTTGCTCAAAGATCTGTTGCGGGTCAGAATATAATCTAACAGGTGGAGGTGATTGGATCTTGGGTGCTTCCATGTGAAAAAATTATTTTCTGGTTGGTAGAAGTAAGTATTGGTGATACACAGTGACCTTTGGCTGCAGAAACTCAGTAGGAGATCACCATTTGAGTTCTTGCGGCCTTTACCAAATTTGCCCATGACACCTTCATATGTGACGTGGTCCTTGCAAACTCTAGTGTTGAAGTCTTCAAGGCTTAGGGGCTTATCTTCCTTGGGTACCTTGTCTACAACATCCACCAGGCTTTGATAAAAAGCTTCTTTTTCTTCATCAGTGTATGTCTCCGTATATAGCATTCGTTCATTGTCTGCACTCTCATGGTCATGATCCTTTCTGACACTCCTGTTGGTAATGCAGTGAGCTTACAGGCAATCTTTTTTGAGATGACAAAGGCCACACCAGCTTCACTCCTCCTGTCTGCTCTACCACTCCAGAAGAAAGTATAGCTTGCCTCTCGAGTTGCTCTTGTCCTTGCAGTTTAGTTTCTTGAGGAGCAGCATTGTGGATTTGCTAACGATCCAACTTTTTTGCAATCAAAACTGTTCGCCTTTCTGGTCTAGCTTTGTTGTCATGCTTCGTACGAACTTTCCAAGTAGAAACTGTAAGTTTAACTTTCTTGTCTTTCCTACCGCTGAAATGAAGGCCTGCTGGCCGCGGTGTACCAGCCAGGTATCTGGGCAAGCTTTCCTTACCCTAACTTTTCTCCCAATACAGGGCAGGCTGTGCTCTCCCTAAATAGGGCAGTCTAATCACTCACATAGCCGCCTCAACTTGCTGTTGCCCAGTAAGATCAGCTAATCTGCGACCATCTGATATGAGTCGTCTATGTGTAGAAATCCTGCTAGCAGCTCCCAGCTTCTTAGGCCTGCTGCCTTCGCTTTCATTCTATCACCACAAAGTCTTTTCACCGCAACAAAACCTCTCACCATGCATAATTAAATAAGGAATACAGTGTCGTGCCCCTGCTGACATCCTCTCTGGACCATTAAGTCTGTTACTGGTGGTGCATGAACATGCCACAAACCTGGCAGACATGAGTGTTACCCTGCAGTGACTGCTAACTAGTCTGTTGTTACCATCCATTGATCAGAAGAGGTTCATCCACATGCCAACTATGCAATGTCCCATTGAAATTTAGGTTCATCTGCCACAGAACCCAATAACACCCTGCTGCAAGTGAAATGAGAACAGTTTTACGACTTGCCTGTATCTGCTATTTAAGCCATAGCTGGTACCTAAGCAGGTACTACCACTCTGGGTAAGAGTGGACCTGGGAGTAATGGTAACGAAGGGGTAACTCCACATTCCACACAACCTCAGTCATCCCTGACTGTGATCTCACCACTGGATGCAGTTTAACATCTTACCCAGGACCAACGTCTTACCCAGGACCAAAAGGACCATCTAACCAACGTGTTTTTTGAGGATCCAGCATGTGGCTCTCTTCCACCCTTTTAATTTGGGTTTGAAGTGATATCTGATTTGGGGACCAAACTACGGTGTTGTAGGACACCTGTGATTTCACAGGTGTCAGATAGAGTTAGTACCTAACTGGCACATCAGTTAATAGTAGGCACGTACGCTTTAATAGCCCTAGCCGCCTGCTGGCCTTGCCGATAATGGAATGAATACGTAGAGCCCAGATTAGGGAGCTGGTGACATCAACCTCAACGTTTTTATCAGTGGACAAATGCTCAAGCTTTACGTACATTGTCAAGCTTATAATTGCAGATCAGTGGGCTATTTTTATGGGTAATGGTTAACACCTTGCATCTGAAGTGGTGTTTGCTGTTGACTTTGACTCGGTGAAAGGTCTGATTTAAGCAATGGAAATAAAAACAGTTTAACATAGGGGAAAATAATGGAGCGGGAACTGCTCTGGTTACAGGATTTTTCATAAGACTCGATTGAGATTTTTTTTCTTGATTTGCCTACTGTGTAGTACAAAAATGTAACGTGATTTAACTTTATACGGATTTTGTGAATTGTCTTCGATCAAGAAACATAAGCATGGTGAGCTTTCATGATTAAAGACATGAAACCCCTCAAACTTTACTACCAACACTCCAATAAGTAGCTATAGAGTGTGTATTGACTCAACAAGTAACAAAAGTCATTGAAAATATCACGTTTCCTTTTCGGCTGTTCTACCGCTCAAAATAAAAAAAAAATTGCACAAGTCAGTGTTTTAGCAAAATTTTTGCCTTCACGAATTGCACGAGTTTGGTCCTGCTCAACAAAAAAAACGCAAAGAAACGCCAATCTGCATGACAGAACTCCCCTCAATTTTCGTATTGTACGGAAAATAAGTGCCGTGTCTATACCCGCTTCCCTTTGATTTAGGAAATGCTTTCAGGAGCCTGAAGCAATGGCGTTATGCATATCCAGCGCAGAGGACTGATGTTAATTTTTCTGAAAATATTAATAGCTAGACTAAAGTTATTTATAAAAGTGAAAATGTTTGAAAACATGCCTAAACTTGGGTGGTGCATGAATCTCACTCAGCGTAGAAATGTACTCTGTTTTAGGTCGAGCATGGCTGCAATACTCCTGAAAATACAAACAAGGTGATCATAGAGGAGACCGATCAAGTGAACAATTCAGTTGCTCCAATCGCATCAAGTTTTGTAGACAAGCAAGCCACAGACCTGAGCATATCCGATGAAAAATAGTTGATCGTTAGTGTAGTGCAAGCTAGGAAGTGCATACTCCTCTTCACCACCATGCTTTGTAAGCCAATCGTGATATGCCTGAAACAATCAGTACATCTAGTTTTAGAGATCATCATATGGTTTCAATATCGTGATTCAATCAGTTTGAGGTGTTTATCCACCAGGGATTATCTGATGGGAGAGTTGTAAATTTATAAAGGTCGTGTTTTCCCTCACAGATCATTATTTAGGTAATTTCCATAAGTAGTACTAAGATCGGAATTATTATCGAAAAGGATAACAGATCTGAACAAGCAGAAACGTAAAGAGGAAAGACCTCGTGGCTTTATGCTCAGCAGCTGCGGAACGATCTTAAATGGATTGAATCGTCTCAAAATCGACGAATTCTCAGAGCTTGTGCAAGTGACGGGAAGTTAGCGATTTCATGGTTTGCCCAAGTTCGGATATTTTGTTATCTACAAAATAAGCAAAATTTTTGAAAACGCTTGACGTTTCTGAAAATACTCATGTTTCTCTCAAGAAGTTCGAACAAACTTTATGGGAAAATTATTTGACAATTTATAACTTTTAGGCAATTATCAGTTAATTTAAGTTTGTACCCAGCTACATGGATAAAGACGCTCTTTGTAACGTAGAATTAAGGAGAAGATTCTCGAAAGATTTCGTCCATTTTCTATCTGATTTGAAAATCACATCAAGTCCTTTTTGTTCACGTAATATTTTCATGGAACAGCTTTTGTCCCTAACAGCCTCACAATTCTTCTGGCACAAGACGGATAGCCATAGTAGCTCGCGTCTGCAAAGTCGCAAATAGTTATTATTGTGAGGATCAGAAAACCTTGGATGACCTTTCTGGTCGCTGATTGGAAACAGAAAGCAAAGGATGCAAATTTCGGACCGCGAAGGGTAGTGGCCTATTAAGAATTTCGAGCACCTGTCAATTTAGAGAGAGTTTTAGATGAAGAAGCCAAACTGTTAAATCCCATCGTATTCCATTAATCTTTTTAGTTTTCATGTTTTTAGAGCCTCACAGTTAAATCACTTTGACAAAGAAGTGTTCATTAATTTCTTCCATTGTGCAATCAAATAGTACAATTATGATCTTAATGCAACAATAGCTCTCTTAAGAACTACTGTAAGTGCACTTACAAAATATGAAAGTTTAGTTCCACCATTGTCCGCAATGTTCTCTCCAAGTGTCACTTTCCCACTGATCTGATGTGGAAACAAAAAGGTAAACGTAAGAATAGCATTTTGTTAACTCCAAGAGGAATGCAATGGACCTTCTTACCGGATATTTCCCTTGAACTTTAAATTTCGAGTACTGTTTTTCGATGCACTGAGATCTCCTGTTAAATTCGATAAGAGATTGCTTGCTCCACCATTCCTTAACGATATCTCCATTTTTATCGAATTTTCGACCTGTTGGTTCAATGAACATCCCTGATAAGAGTACATATTAAATTTATGTGTCTATACCACACTGATCGAGGTGGTAAAGTTTGGGATCAGTTTTACCAGAGGAGCTAAGGAAACATTTCACACATAAATGTAAATAATGTTCAAGAAATTTTCGACATGCAGGAACTGATACTTCATGTTGTTATCTTCATCAAGTCTAGGCTGACAGACAGACAGACAGTCAGACAGACTAGCTGATAGAAAGATAGCCAGACAGATGGGTAAGTAAGTCGGTGGACACTTGAGTAAAAAGAAATGGATTTATAACATACAAATCGATAAGATATCAACTTCTCCTGTTTCGAAAAGAGAACATCTTCACCGTGCACTGAGAAATTACCATTTACATTATCACACTTGAAGATAATAATGTCTCAGAGTAACTGGGTTTATCAAAATAGTGCTTTTATTTTTCCGAAATGATATCTCTTTAATTTAACGACACTATTGAGATTGATTTCAACTTTTAGTTTCTTTTTCATACTGAAATTTTGTTTCATTCTACCATCGTTCGTTAAAGTACCTTTCCTACAAGCTGAGGTTATGTGCAGGTGATTTCTGCATCCTCTTAGAATGAATGATCTCTTAGAATGAATTTTAAAATTTTCGATTTTAGTAAGTGACCAGTATCTATGTGAAACACACTTGTGTTGATGATATCTCTCACTCAATCGAATCCAAGCTTGGCCGCGTAATGTCTTCTAATTACTCTAATATATCAAAATGGTGAAAGAGATTTTTCAGTGATTTGCCCTGGTTTTTGGGCAAACATCCACTGGTATGTAAGATTGTACTTGGTGATTTTCATCCTTGCTGGCATTGAAGGTGCTTGAGGGTTACCTTAACACTCTTCATGTCGGCTCCCTAGAGTACCTCTGTATCGGGCAGTTTGTTCTGTCATTCAATGTGCAGTGGATCTCTGAAGAACCTCATGTTGTAAAAGTTCAGCCGCCTGGCATGTCGGCTGGCAACAATCCATTTTTCACAAGGATAAAGCAGAGAGAATAAGACAACTGCACAATACACTTAAGGCTTGGTCTCTTCTCTCCCAGACCTTGTCTCAGAGTCTGTATAAGGCTCAACTGTCCCTAGCTATCCTGTAAAAGACCTGTGTGCGTTTGATGTAGACAAATTTTTCCACACCATCGAGCTTTTGACCCCCCTACTGTGATGGTTAGCTCTGTGTAGGGTGTCGCATGAGCTTGCCGGCTCATCACTTTGGTCTTCTTTGTATTTACTGTTGAGACTTCACAAGCTTTGGATAACGCTTTCTGAATGTCAGATTGTTGGCATTCAATGCACAGCGTCATCAGGGAGAACGTTATGAGAAATGTTTTCCCGGACCTTAGTTTTTGCCTTGATGGCAAACCCTTACGACGCTTATCCTGTCTGTTTTCAACCCAGAAGAACGTGAGAACATGCAACCAACCTGTAACTCAGACAGTTGACCTTCCTCTGATAGCTGAGTCTCATTGATGGTAGTAAATTCCATTAAAGGAAGTTTGAAGAAGAATGATGGTGAGATTGTGTGGTGATCATGAGTGAAGTCGCGCCTTGCGTTTAAATTCGATTGAAGTAAGGAAGAGTTGCGCAGGGTCATTAGCCTTACACTCTCTTCCCTGCCCATCTGTACTAAGTGGCAAGACAAATCAAAGACGGCTGGAGATAGGTCCAAGTGCAGCGTGTGATTAGCAGTGTTCTGCATGTCTCACTATGCTCTGTTAGTGCTTCACAATGCCTTCCTGTGCAATCACCTTTCTGCCCGTGTCACCAAATGCTGGTAAGTGATTTCATCTGCACAGTCTGCCAAATCCAAGCATTGAACGCCAGGTATACAAGCCTGGAAGGGATCACTCTTTGTTGGGTCTCTGCCCTTTGACCTGCTCGGCATGGGTGGCCCTACCTAGAGTTAAAGACTCTGGGGGTCACTGGGACACCCAAAATCATCCTAGTGCGATAAAGTGGCGACCCTTGTAGGACACTATGCAAGCTTCCGCTCTCCAATATTCCATTGAATAATTCTACTTATCATATCATAATGCCTACATTATGTAAATGGCGACAGCCCCGAGGCCTCAACCTCAAGCAACACTCGAGCAACATTACCAAATGCTAACCTCCCTCTCACCCAGCAAAATCAACAAAAAAGATAGGTCGGTAATCCCCGATATACTCTCTCCTTGTAGTCGTTTAGTCGACTTTAACATAGCTGCGTGCTGTTTGCAGAGTGTGGGATAAGCAAATGCTAGGTAGAAACCAACAGTTTTCGAAATTAGATTTGAGAGAATACGATCCGGTGTGACAGTTTAGTTTTAGATGATAAAGATGAGACATACAAAGATGGTGATGATCATTATGATGATAATCGAAACAAAAGAGAGATTTAAAATGCGAATTCTACTTCCATTTAAGTCTGTCCTTTAAGTATAGTACAAAGATGCAGGACAGAAAGGTTAATTCATAGCTTTTTAAATTTGGAAGTGATCTCGAGCCAATTCAGCAAGTTTCTGTCAACTTCTTGAAAAATATCATAGGCCTTAAACTTTGAGAGAGAAACATAGTGAGATCAGTAATGTGTGGCAAATAAAGGAATGGGACAAAAATATTTCTTGTCTTTTCATGCCATTCTAGTGTTTGTTGAAATATATTCCACTGTCGTTACTGCAGATCTCACAAAATGTAACTGACAACAAAAATTTATAGACCACTAATCAATCTTAGAGAGAGTTCCACTTTTCCATTTTCATGAGCAACCAAACTGTGTTTAATATGACGAAAATGCAGAGAATTGTGACAGAAAAAGAATCTACATTCTTGATAGGATGCGTGTAAGGATCTCCACAGGCCCCCTGAGATTTTTTTGAGGAGAACAAAAGAAAGTGTGCATTGTTTTGTTTGTTTGTTTGCTTGTTTTTTTGTGTACAATGATAGTAGTTGCATCAATGTCAGTACTGGTACAACTGATACTGCAATTGCTGCTACTAGTGTAACTGCCACTGAGAAACGCACGTTTGAGGTTAATGGAAACTTTAAGCCAAATTATTAATATTTTTTACTCACCGGTGTTGTCAAAACCATGGGTGAGCTCATGTCCTATGATGGATCCTAAAGCGCCATAACTTAAAGACCTGGAGATTGAAATTAAAAAGAAAATTAGTTAAAACCTCGAGAATTATCAATGCACTAGTTTATATTAGTAGCAAGCGATATTTGAAACCAAACTTAATAACTCTGCCCTAAACAATGAGTACACATAGAGTGACTTTAAAGAAGACTTAAAAGTTAGATACAAATACAAGGGCTTTAACTCGACGCCCATTTTTTTCACAAATGAGTTTTTTTCCTGTGGCTTACTACAGGAGTAAATTCACTCTATGTCATGAGTCACAAAATGTATTCTTTTAATTTTTGGTTGATAAGAGCCAGGTGCATTTCACAGGGTACCTTCGGAGATTTGGCTCTAGTTTGTGCTGAATGAGCTTGTCTGTTAGGAGGATGAAAAGAATGTGTTTTAAATTTGGTTATTGTCGAGGCGAAAGAATTCGACCTTAGAAATGTTTATCCGTGGTAAGACCATCCCGTAAAACCATACTGATTACCATAATGACTTGATTATCTTCATATGCGAAGATACAAATAGTGTGCTGACTGTGCGCACTGATAATGTCATGTTTCCGAAATAAAAGAAATTCTGGTATCTCGTCAATATCTGTATGATAAGATATTTTACCTCTCGTAGCCTCTCATAGTTATTACCTATGCACTAAGTTTAGCTTTAAGGCTATTCAGTCTGACACTTAAGATCTCTTTTGCCTGACGACCACGATTCACGAATCATAACCATATAACTGATTCAACAAACTCTTGTGTATTGAAAAACAGGATCATGAGATCGAGATTTTTATTTCGTGATATTTATTAACGGAGAGGCCTGCATAAATGATCACTTGCAGAAATCGAGAGCAGGTCTCTACTATTCCTTCAAAACCTTACAATAAGACAGGCTATTGTTTTTCTTTATTTTGTCTACCATCACACTCTCTCAAGCTACTCCTTTTTCTCAGTTACTGTCATGGGAAGACACAAGGTAGTCCTGCCTACCAGATTGTAGAATTTGTCATAAAACGCTAATAGATTTATACTGACCCAAAATAAATTAGGAGACGTAGAAAGACATTTTTAATTTTCAGGTAGAATCGAGACACGAGCAATTTTCTCCTCATTACGTCAAGGGTGTTAAGATAGCTCTCTGTACGCCTTTCATGCATCTAGGTGATTTGTTTAAGCCCTTTAAGGTTATGGCTTTTTTAAGTGCTAAAGAAGGAAATCAATTTTAACGTTTTTAATTTATCTGAGAGTCCTCCTTCTTACCTCGGAATTTTGGCAGAGTAGAAGAAAGGAGACTGAAGTATACCAGCTGGAATCACTACAGATTAGCAGAAAATAAACAAAAATAATAAATGCATAATAACAGTTAGGGATGTTAATTAAGGGTTATCAACTGAGTTGGCTACGTAAATCAGCCACCGTAAAGAGTTTAAAGGCTAAATTATTGAGTAAATAGGTGGCTAAGTAGAGACTGATAAGACGTGACGTGGAGGTGGCGATACATTTTTGGATGGGTTACTCAGCCGCGTGGCTGACTAGTAAAGGTAACCTGTGTCAGACAGGACAGATTGGATGGGCTATTGCAAGATAACAGTCGCTTACATGATTATCTCCACCTGAACAATCACATCATACGATCGATTGTTGCCTGTGGTTTCAACCTTCCATTATATGTACAAGACATTATAATGAGACTAGAGTCTATTCGACCCTACTTTTCTCATCCTTGAATGCACCTTAGATCAAATTATTTAATACCCTAAAATGTTAATTATACGAATCGAACCTTGCTGCCCTTTTGTGCCATTTGCTGATGACCCATCAGGAACACTGATGAAGCATTAACAACTTGGAACTTGCTAACACTGATAGGGGCTATGATCATTCCTCAGATTCTTGTCAGGTCACATCCTGGCTTATATGCCAGAGAACTTACTAATTCAGCCCTTATACCGCTTAGTTTGAAGAGTCAGAGGTGTTCTTACCTATCTCATTTTCATAGAACTGATACATGGCATTTATTGTCTGTGGAAACATTGGCCATCTGAAAAGATAAAGACAAAAACTTTGCTCTTTGCAACATATCTTTCCTTTAAAATGCGCGCAGATTGGTCAATTTAGAAAGTAAGATACGTTTTTCCTCTAATATTTGCCCCTGATACTGGCTTTTTACAAGTTATTCTGCATTTTCCAAGAAGAATTTATAGATAGTTTATCAGCAAAGTTGATGTGATTATTCAGAATAATCGGTGTGTTCATTTGCGCTATTTATCTCCATTTGCATTGGCTGTGGGGTAAAGCACTGCATTCAACAATTCTTAAACATCTGATTAATGATGATCTGCCCATTGCCTCCTTTAACCTTCCTCTTTGAAAATTTTCTAAAGCTTGTACTAACGAGGAAAGTATGACGACATGGATGTTAAAATAGGATACATCGTTTATCGCTAGCCTAATCCGAGCAAGGTCTAAACGCGGCAGGTAGCGAGATGCCTTCAAATCTTGACCAAATTTTAGTCTAGATTTACCGTATCTTATATCTCGAGGAATATCTCCTATATAGATAACATTTTGGAAGAAGCGGTGGAAAAACAAGTGGACGCAGAGGATGAAGAAGAAGGTGAATGCAGGAGTGACGGCGAGGAAGAACAGCTACAAATTGTCTAAGAGATAAAAAGGCCGCTTAAAATGGTCTTGCCGTATAAAATGAAACTGGTTGAAACCGATCTAACAACAAAAAATGGTCCAAGTAGTTTAAATGGTATAACTAGACAAAATGGTCCAATCTGTTCGATTTCGTTAAAATGGTGCAACCAGACGAAATGGTTACTGGCAGAAATAGTCTAACCAGGTTTAATGGGTCTAACAAAATGGTAAAACTGTCTAAAATGTCCCGAAATGGTTTCACTACAAATATGTTCTGACTAATTAAAATAAACCAACTAGTTAAACATAAAATGGTTCACGAGTTAAAATAGTCTTACTAGCTAAATAAGTCAGACCAGTTAAATGATCTAACTACATGAACTGATCTAACTTTGCAGAAATGGTCTTACGAAAGTGGTTTACCTAGTTAAGAGCCCTATCAGTTAAAATTGATTCACTAGATAAATGGACCAACCACTTAAAATGGTCCAAGGAGTATCATGTGGCACTATAGAGAAGTGGTCCTTGTTCTAAAAATGACCCAGCCTGTTAAAAAGGTCCAAACAACTAATAAATCCAAACGGTCAAAATGGAAAAGAACAGTTGAAAAGATCCCACCAGTTAACATGGCCAAACCAGTTAAAATGATTCAACCAGTTTTCGAAATGGTCTACCTAAATAAAATGGACTAACCACTTGGAAAGGTCTAAACAGACAAAATGTAGTTTAACTGTTAAAAACTCTGTAACCAGATAACGTAGTTTAACTCTTTAAAATGGTCCAATTAGTTACTTCTAAATAATATGGTCCAATTGGTAGAAATATTCTAACTAGATAAAAGGTCCAACGGATGACAACGGTTTTACTGCGTAGCTATTCGAAACTGATAGTAAATGGCTTTGTATGGAAAATGATCTAGTTGGTAGAAAAAGTCTAACTAAAGAAAATGTTCAAATAGTCAAACCAATTGACTGATCTAAATGGTCCAACGACTTATAATGGTCTAACTAGAGCAGAGGTGAAACTGATTAAAATAATGCAATTTGTTAAATTGAACTAACGATATAAAATTGCTCAGCTACTGAAATTGATGTAGCTAAATGAAAAGATTCAATCACTTCGCATGTTCTAACTAGATAAATGGGTCCAACCATTTAAAATGGTCTAGCTGTATAAAACTGTCCGACTTATTAAAATTGCCTGACTAAATGAATCGGTCCAATTAGTAGAAATAGACTAGCCAGAGAAAATTTTCTAAATACTTAAAATGGTCCAATCTATGAAACTGATCTTACTAGATATAATGATCTAACGATTAAAATGCCCTAATTTGATAAACTGGTCCATTTGGTAGAAATAATGTAACTAGAGGAAACGGTCCAACTGATTGAAAGGGCCTAATGGGATTATTTTTTATGTTGAGATTCTTTTTATTCCCCTCTTCCATGGCAATATTGCAATTTTGTATTCAGAACTGCTCTGGTAAGTACCATTTTTGCAATGATTCCGGTTCAATTTTTCTATTTTGTATAAATTTTTCTCATTCTTATCTTTTTTCCTTTATATTAATGTAGTTTAATTCATCGTTTGCATGCTGTAACATTTTCCTCAATGTCAATGTATATTTAATTGCCGTAGTCCTGGAGGTAATGGGTTGTATTACAAAATAAAGCTGTGATTTAAATTTACAATAAAAAACTTAAATGATCTACTAGATAAAATGCTGTAACTAGAAAGAAGATGCAACAAATTAAACTCACCTAACTGATCAAAATGCTATCACTAGAAAAGTGGTTCAATGGGTTGAAATAACCCAACAAGTTAGAATGGTCCAACTAAACCAGGCAAGATGTGACTAATGTAATGGTTAAAATGTAATGGTCTAACTTTTTAAAAAGAACTAACTGGATTAACTGATCCTGCTGGATAAAATGGTCCAATAACTTAAAGTGGTCTAACTAGATAAAAAGGTCAGACTTGGTAAAATGGTTTAATTGGATTAAAATTGTCTAACTAGATAAAATGGTCCCACGGGTAGAAATTGTTTAGGTAGATCCAACAACGTGGTCCAACTGGTTAAAATAGTCCAACTACTTAAAGAGTTCAATTAATACTATTGAACTGGTTAAAATGTTCCAAGCCTTTAAAATAGCTCAACTAGCGGCAGAAATAATCTGGTCTAGCTAGGTGAAATGCTCCAATGGGTTAAACGGTCTAACCAGATGAAATGTTCCAGCTGATTAAAAGGATCTACTGTAATATTCTGGTCAAACTGAAAGAAATGGGCTGATTAGGGGAAATGGTCAAACTGGTTAGGATGGTCCGACTGGTCATAGTGGTCTGCACGGTTAAGACCAGTTAATATGGTCCAACTGTTTCCACTAGATCCAATCCAAACATGTAAGATGGTATACCTAGATAAAATGGTCCAACTGCTAAAAATGGTTTTAGTCACTAAATAAAATTTTCCAATGGGCCATTTCTGAGTTCTCGCGGTGCAGAGATCTGGTGCTGAAATTATGGTGAGAGAAAGAGGCTAAGTGCAAAGTCGCTCTGAAAGATCAAAGTCGCTCTGAAGGACAAAGAGCTATGTAGTGAAATGAGCGAAAATTTCGCGAAATTCAACATGTGAGAGTGAAATTTTGAAAGAAAAAAAAGTGAAAGATCAAAGTCGCTCTAAAGGACAAAGAGCTATGTAGTGAAATGAGCGAAAATTTCGCGAAATTCAACATGTGAGAGTGAAATTTTGTTTTGGGGAGAAAGGCATCCAGTTAAGTGATGGCGGCAAAGGAAAGAAAAAAAGGAGAACGGTTCCATTTATGCAAGAAAGCTGGAACGGTGAAGTAGAATATACTAACCTCTTCTACTAAACACCACTAAAAGCTATTGGAGGAGAAATTACAAATATGTGAAGGCAAATTTCCAGACCCCAAGATTTAAGATACTTGAATTTTAACTGCTCTTTAAATGGCCTATTGGTTAAAATGGTGTTGCTACATAACACTAGATCCGTAACATACTTTATTAGGCGGAAATGTTATAGGTGGGTCCAACTGACTCAACTAAATGATGCAAATGGTGAAAAGTAAAAAGGTCAAGTCTAACTAAATAACATTTTCTAACTAATTAAACTGGTCTGCCTAGCTGCATGAGGAAATGGCCTGCCCAGTTAAAGTTCACAAGCTAGAAAAATAATCTTCCGGGTTAAAATGACCCAGCTAGTAAAAACTGTCCAAGTTAGTGAGATTGTCCACAGGTTAAAGACTTCTGACCTAAAAAACTGATCCATTAGTTTAAAATGATCCACCTAGAGAAAATGATCCAACTGGTAGAAATTGTGTAACAACAGAAAATGGTCTAACAGGTGGAAATGGCCCAACTACTTAAAATGTTCCAAGTGGTTAACTGGTCTAACTAAGAAAGAATCTTGCAGCTAGTAGAATGGTCTACCACGGTCCAAAAGGTCCAACAAGATAGTCCAACTGCTCAAAATAGCTTATAGGTTAACATGGTCCAACAAGATAATATGGTCTAAATGAGTAAAATGGTCCAAGTGGCTAAAGTAAACTAACTATATAAAATGGTTTTACTGCTCAAAATGATCTTACTGGATAAAATGGTCCAAATGTTAAAATGGTCTACTAGGTTTATCTGGGGTGACTTATTGGTTAAGATGGTCTGACTAAAATAAAATGGTCCACATGTTAAAATGGTCTACGTGTAACTAGAGAAAAGGGTCCATTTGGTTATAATGGGCATATTGGTTAGTAAGGTCTAACTAGATAGAATGAACGGACAGCTTAAAATGGTCTAACTAGCCAAAAAGGTCAAACAGGTTAAAATACTGCAATTGGGTAAAAATGGTCTAACTAAGTTAAATTGCCGAACCGGTACAAAAGATGTAACATGATCATTATAAACTGTCTCAACTGGTAGAAATGGTCCAACTGGTTAAAATGGCCTTACTGTTTAAAATGGTCTAGCTATGTAACATGGTCTGTCCAAATAGTTAAAATGGTTGAATCGATTAACATGATCTTCTCTCATAAAACTATTTAACTCCTAAAAACGCCTAACCAGATTAAATGGTCTGATCCAGTAAAATGGTCCAACAGATGAAAATAGTCTAAACGGCTGTGAATATATGAAAGTCATATATTTGAACTGCGGATAAAGACGTGAATATGAAAGTGATCTTCGTAGTAATGAACACTACTCGAGCAGTAGCATACCGTTGTTGCGTTCTACCGTACAGGCCTGAATCTTTTTCAGGCCTCATTTTCACTACAGCTCAAGTAGTGTTTATTACTGTGAAGATCACTTCCATATTCACGTCTTTATCCGCAGTTCAAATATACGACTTTTATATATTCACAGTCGTTTATTCACCACTTCATGGCTTTATTTGGAACCAACATAATAACCAGTTGGCTTGTTAGCTCAGTTCGTAGAGCGCTGCACCAGTATCGCAGAGGTCATGGGTTCAAATCCCGTACAGGCCTGAATCTTTTTCAGGCGTTATTTTCACAACTGTTCAAGTAGTGTTCATTACTGCGAAGATCACTTTAATATTCACGTCTTTATCTGTAGTTCAAATATATGACTTTCATATATTCACAGCCGTTTATTCACCACTTCACGGGTTTATTTTGAACCAACGTAATGATCAGCTCCCAGTTGGCTTGTTAGCTCAGATGGCAGAGCGCTACACCGGTATTGCAGAGGTCATGGGTTCAAATCCTGTGCAGACTTGAATTTTTTTTAGGCCTTAGTAGTGTTCATTACTGCGAAGATCACATTCATACTCACAAAAATAGTCTAATTGGTACAAGAAAAAGTGGTCCAACTGGTTAAATGGTCCAGTTGGTTAAAATGGTCTAACTAGAAAATAGTTCGCCCCCTTGAAATGGTCTCAATTGAGAAAATGGCCCAGCTGGTTAAAATTTTCCAACCAGTTGAAATGGTCAACCTAGTGAAAGTGATCCATAAGCTGATATACGAACTATTTCTTGAGTATAGAAAAATCAGTAAAAGCATTTTTTGTGACAGTTAATTAAGCTGGAACTTAGGCCATCGCCAGTTAGAGAAATTGACCCTTCTCTTAAGATAGTTTTTAAGAAAATGATCCATCTTACCCATTTTTTTAATGGATTTTCTTTTGTTATTTCAATAAGAAATCTACAAACAGTTTAGGCCAAAGACTTTCATATTCAACATCCTGGTTATACGATGTCGTAATTGAGGACTGAAAGGTTTGGAAATAGGTTACATACCTGGATGACCGTCAATAAACATGATTTACATTTCACAAAAGCGCACAATTAGTTTTGGTTGCGGCGTCATCTTTGATGTAAATGGCACCTTGGATCAGGGGGATGGGTAGGGCGGGGACGGGGGTTGGGGTTCAAACGATATTCACCCTTGGGGAGGGTAAAAAACCAAACAGGTCTAATTCGTCATTGGAGAACTTTGAAATCATCATTGGAGAACTTCAAAGTATACATAAAAGGAAGTGAAATTTAAATAACACTCGTGTATTACTATCGATTTTAGAGCGAAAGCACACTTTTTATCCATATCTGGGCAAGACACACCTTTTGTGTGGGCAACAAACACTGTGGATAGTTTCATCGTAATGCAACTTTTCCAACCCCCACTCGTAAAAGTAAAAGCCAAATTCTTAGCCCAACAACTCTTACGGACTTCAAATTTGGTCTCTCAACAATAAGTAGAACTTACTTCTCTTTGTCGACTGCCTTTCGAAGTTTGGCAAAGAGTCGGTTTCTCACCCATTTATCCACTTCGATGTTGTTCTTGAAAAAGGCCTTTGAGTTTATTGAGAGCTGTGAGGAAATAAAACAAAGTATATATCAAGCAATTTGAGTATTCATATGCAAATTGATAAGTAAAACTCTTTGGAAAAAACTGTTTTGTGCTTTAGATAATGTTTTTTAACAATTCATTATTCAGCGTTTTACTACCTTTGTCCTGGTTGGAACGTCCTTTTATATTAGAGTATTTGCAGTTTTGTGCCTAGTCTACGTCTACTGCAGATGTTCCAAAAGAGGAGACCAAAGGACTAGCTCTGGCAAATTTAAGTCTACAGTCAATGTTCTCGTAGGGCTGCTCAGGTTTTGTATAGGACTTATTCTACTTAGTTTTTCTTAATCATTTTGGATTTTCCAAAAATAAGTGAGTGATTGAACTGTTTTCACCCCAAATTCTGTTAACATCAGCATACAATTGATACGGAGAGTACGTGATCCTTTTAATATACTCTGTAAACATATCGTCTAATATGTCAAGCCCGCAAACTTTAAGATGTTCTGAAATATAACTCACTCTTGAGAAGCGCGATACGAGTTCCTTTGGGCTAACCACGTATTTTGCATAGCCAATCTTACTTCCTAAAGCGTCAGCCTGGTGATCAAGTGAAAGAAAATAAAAGAAACAAGGGAGAGAATATATATATACATAAAGAAAAAAAGCGTAATTTGGTTGCCTACAATCCAAATCTGCCAAGGGAAAAGAAATCCACTTATCAAGAAACTTGGGGTAGATTCCTATCCTCGACATGAAGTGTTGATGTAAAGAAGTAAGGAAAAGGAGAAGGAACGAGTTCATTGAAAGGTGTGCGTTTTATAACGAGTAAGTGGCCTCCAACGTTGTTATAAATGTTAAATCTACTCATAGTTCACACACACGGAAGACAGTTCTTAGACAGGAAGTACAAAGAGTTTTACTAAACTGTAGCTTGTAACATAGGAAGTAATGGAGAAAAATGTCGTCTAAATAATTATGAGGATGAGGCAATCAAAACACAGAAAGAAAGTTCGATGCAAAATTTTCGCGACCTATTCTGCAAGGCTTATAGAAAGAGAAAGACCTTAACCAGGAAGAGAAAAGAACATGAAATAGACCCAAGGAGGAAACAAGAGAAAGCGAGAGAGGTCACAGTTATCGACGAACGAAACAAACAAACAAACAAACAAAAACAAAAAGCGACGAGGCTTTTGCGGTTCTTGAGGTTGGAAAGTCTTTTTTCTGCAATAAAACAGTTTCTCTAAAAATCTGATCCATTGAAAGATGGAAAAGTCCCGCGTCATAAACAAGGCCTGACTAACAAAATCAAACGTCTGTGTGGTGGAACTATCGACGAGCACATGTTTTAGAGATAGGAAAGTCTCTCGGTAATAAGAGAACAATCGGATATTTGGAAAGCTAAGGATAATCGTAACAGTGAAATATAAATAGTCCAAGGTAAACAAAGGAGAAAAAAGCACTTTAATGAATTCCAGAAGAAAGTAATATTTCCACACATCGCTGCAAACACCCATTATAATAATATACCTCGTGGTTACCTACAGATAACCTAGGTACATAAATGATTGAATGGTTCATTTTTCATTTTCACATGGAAAATTAAGTTAATCCTTTACACTAGCATTTGCTGGCGTGTGAACGATCCCAGAAACAATATGTCAGAGAGACCAAACCCATGGTTCGTGCACGGTTTACCGAACACAAGGAAACTCATTATTAAAGTCCCACCCATTTAAGTCTTTAAGCAACTATTCCAACTCACTCGATGGATCATCGCTCATTTCCCTGGAATTCCAGTTCTCCGAAAACACAACCAAACGAAACGAAAGAAAGAGAAAGAGAGAAAAAAAGAAACAAAGAGAGAGGAGAATTCATGTCCAGACAGCTAAGCCGGTGAAACGAATACTACATGAAAATAATTTAAAGGGTAGATTTGTTCAGATATGATATCGAACTGTCCTGTTGCCTTTCTTTCCAATTATCTGTTACTTATCATTTGCAGGTTTTTTTTCCGTTTTCTCTTTTTGTTACATTTTATCTTTTGCATGTACCGTTAGCTACTTTCATTTATGTCAGAGACGTTATATCTCTAGTGATAACACTGGCTCTGGGGAAGACAAGGAGTACTAGTTGAAAATGATCGTTCCTGTTGTTTCAGCCCCACAGTTTAGTTTGTGCGCTTAAATATAAGAAAAAATTCCGAAGTTCCTTCGCAACCAAAACATTCCACAACAAGCAGATCAAAACTAAAAACATATGTGGTCACATACCATATCTCGGCGCAAAGTAGCTGTAAAACCTCTCTTTGCGTAATGATGTAACATTGTGCATTATTGAATAGAAAAGCAAATACGTAAATAGATAATTGAATAAAAAAATCTCGGTGCAAATTAGTGTTCATGGATGTAAACATTAGAAAGGGAAGTTAAATTCACCAACTCAGTTTACTATTTTACTGTAATAACTACTTTAAAAGGTTACAAGTTAAAATAGGACCATACCTTTTCAAAGACGTATTGTGTTGTTTTATCATCAATCCAATCATGTTGTTTCACTCTTCTCTTAAAGGTCTCCTTAATCTCATCGACCATCGAGTGGGTCTGGGTAAAAGGATCAGAAACCATCATGTCGGTAAGCAGTCCACTTATAACCGTTTATAAAGCTTTCCATGCAAATCTAGCCGCAATACCCCTTTTCGATATTAAGCAATTACAATTTAATAGTTTATGCCACTTTGTTCATCCACTTCGAGATCTTCATCATGTTTGTATTCCTTCACAAGCAAAAACTCTTGCTCAATCCTCTTTCGTCCCTTTTCAAGTTCAATTCTGATTTTCATAAATACAGACAACTTACATCTTCATGCTAATATTCTTTCTCTCTTTTCGGGTCCAGTTCCCCCTTCATTCACCTCACACTACGAAATTCACTTACTCTTCCCAACTATAAAAAAAAAAACTAAGGGACTCTTTTCTAGTAGTCATGAAGTCATACGGTATATTTCAATCATAGCCGAATTTAAGCTTTTGTACCTTTGAACTATTTTCTTCTATCTTGTCATAGATTTGACCAGTTTGCAGACAGTAGCTGTTCGCTGCTTGTTATGTTAGGTTTCTTTCTACAATATGGTGCGGTTATCTTAGCCTGCATTAATTAACTTTAGCTGTTTATTTATATACATATCACTATATTTATTCTGGGTTGACTTTTGTTTCGCAATCTATCGTTTTCTTGTTTAATTTGCTTTAATGGATTGTTGTAATACTTTGCATGAATTTACTTCAAGGTGTAACTAGCAGCACATCCCATCTTCACTTGACCTATGCCATATGAGCCACTGGCTTTTGCATCTCTCGATGGAAAATCGAAAGAGAATCTTGTGTGTCTCTCATGTGATTAAATGAAATGATTAACCACCCTCCCCCTCCCTACACACACACATCCACACACTTCCCAGGTGTGGAAAAAAAACCCGGAAAATGTTATTTTAGCAAATTCTGAATAACTGGATGTCAAAAAATCGATAATCATGCCGCATCGCTCGTCGCGTAGATCAACAAGGAGCCTCTCGAAAAAGTTACAATTGGAGGCGAAACCCACGATCCTCATCCAAAGTGAACACTTTGGGAGATTAGATATGATACATCATCATTACTGGCACACTTTGATTCTATTGGCAAAAATTAAAGAGAGAGTTCTAACAATACCTTAGAAATTGCGGACTGATCAAAGAAATTCTGTACGTATAGGGAACCGATTGGAACGCCCATGTTGTCGTTAGTGATTCCCGTGCATGTGCGCCATCTAGGATCTGTGTCCTTCACTCCAGATATACGCTCATTGAACTTGGCTCGGGCCTTTCTGAAAGGATCTGACAGTAGACTTACTTTGTCTCGGATCATTTGCCACACCACGTAGTTAGAGAGTAACCTGAAAGTCATCATCATACAGCAATTCTGGTAATTAATTTTACCATGTTATGACGGCTGCAATCAGACGGATAGATCAATAAGTGCCAGATAGGCGAAGAGTTGGATGGACAGACGGACAGATGGATGGATGTCATGGACAGATGGAGGAGGAGGATGGAGGAGGAGAGAGACAGATGAGGTCTAGACATTTTGGCAGAGTATCTAATGAAAAATTTAAGTCAACAAACTACTTGAATAACTTATTACCCTGATTTAACTGTGAAGTACCGTTGTCTCGCAGCAAGGAGATCTAAAGCTTTCTGTTCTATGGGGCTTCGACTACATTCTCGGGTACTTATCGCAGTTTAATACGGCTTAGTGACGTCTCATAAATCTTAACCTTTTAACAGCGCAATGCTTAAAGCCTGGTAATGATTATCTGTAAAAATGGGTAATATGCACTTCATTTCAGTGAGAAGTGCTTTTCTTTTTTTTTTCCGCATTAATTTTTCGCGGGAATAATATAAAAATAGATTTAAGTGTTCAACGATCTTATTCACTTCAGAACAATTCGCCTGTTAACCTCACATAAAAATTTTGTTTCGCCGTTGCCGATATTGGACGTCCTGAAACTATGCAAAAGATTTTTTATTTTCTCGTGAAATGCCCATCGTATTGTCCGAAAAGCGTAAAAAGTTCGTTTTATTCTCCTTAAATCACGATCAAGCTCCCCTTTCCTTTTCAACCCCTCTGTCAGAAGGTCTCTTACAGGGAACTCACTCTTTAGAGGTGTTCTTCAAAAGTGTTGCCATTTTCCGAAGATATGATGTTGAAGTGGTCAACACAATATCTGCCTCAGTCACATTTGCTCCTTTAAATATGGCCTGCATATGATCTAACCAAGGAAACTACAAAAAATGGAAGGAAAAATTATATGAAAATGATACACTTCTTTATTGTGCAAGTCAATGTACACTAAAATGGAAATAACGCTAACGTCTGTCTCGTGATCTACACTTCTGTAGTGTGTAAGGATGTATATTGACTGTATGCTTTTAGAAAGGAGCGTTACATTTTGTAACTCCAACGAAACTAAATTAATCAAAATAAATTTTTGATGATTTCTATGTAGAAATCGGATAAGATTTGAGAGATCGTCAACAGCTCTCACGCAGGGGATCTCTATCTTCGTGAGGACTACACTAAATTAAATTCGGTGTTAAACAACAGATCAGGTCCAACAAACGATCATCGAGAGCATAGTATTTTTTGACGTAAAATCCCTTTTCACACACATGCACTCATCTCAACGCCTTTGTACACGCCACAGAATCAACACATGGAAGATCACGAAAAACCAATTAGGAGAGTGGTACAGCATCGATCCACTTGTTCAAAACGATAAGGATTGAAATTCGTAAATAAAAACTGCCTAAATTTTACAGCGATGCAATATGGAACCTAACCTATCGCCAGTTGAAGGCCAACCCTTTGCGCAGGAAGCCTTGCGATTCTCATCAGAAGTCACCACGTCATACGATAAAATATAATACTTAATCAGAAATTTAAAACATGGCAAATTTTTTTAAGGAGAGAATTCATGTAATTATGTTTCTTGTTTGCGTTGAGTGGTGAAGTATGTAATTTCAAATCTACAATATCTTTGGAGAGTATACGGAAAATAACAAAGTTCAATTCTCTGTCAGCAGATGGTTACTACTACATTTAAAATTGTGAAATTAGATAAATCTTTACAAGCAAGCCCGAAGGAAACGACTGACCGAGTCAGCTTACCGGCAAATTTAGATGTGGACTATTTCTGAAGAATTACATGGGACTACTGCGAACAGGCATCGTGTTTTGCGGGCGGGAAGAAAATTTAACAAGTTTAACAAAACGCGACGTGATGCGTATATATGATTTAAGCTGGGGGTTGGCTTTGACTAAATAGGGTTATCTTTTTTTCAGTTTATCTGCTTAGTTAATGGGGAAGTAAGTTTTCATACCTGAGGAACGATTTGAATGAGGCTGTGGAGGTTCATTCTCCTGTAAATTCCTTCAGCTTTGTCTTCAGCTGACGTTGTGAACTTGATAAGTAAGGATAATATTTTGAGTGCATTAAGTGTCAATTAAACAAGAAAAGATCATCATTTATTCTTTTTTTTTCTTTCATTGAAGTAATGTTAATTCACTAGGCTAATCGATTTGAAATTTATGTTAACACTCACCCTAGCCAGTTTTGTTTCAAAATCCATGATTTGACGCATTTTTTCGGTTGTGTTACATTTTGTTCCAAGGAGAGAGGCAACTGTTGCCATATATTCTACATAAATGTCCACCATCTACAAAGAAACATCACTCTATTTGACCACGAGTATTTCTAGCAACAATTTAAAAAAAAAGGAGCGGGAAAGAAATAGTCATTACCTTCTACCGTTTAAGTCAGAATGTCTCACCTCAGGATGTTTAAAGTAAATCTCCCGTTGAAGACTCAGACCTGACTGATCAATCTAAATAAGTAAGTAATAGTATTTGCTCAGAGACTGGACGACTTTCCCTTTAAATATAAAATACCACTATCACTGACAGAGAATAACGCTTAATTTACCACAGGATAAGATAGTTTTTAATTTATGTTTCGACCAAAGTTTCCCCGGAACTCATTTTCAAGGAATAAACCCTTACAGGTAGGGTGGGGTATATACCCGAGGCTAAATTATTGCCTTAAACCAAATAAAAAGACGTGAAGCGAAAGACATAATGAAAAAATAAATATTAAAGAACTGTTCTTTCGAAATCGAAAAATCGTCTCGAAATCTTCTTAGTGAAAGTCGTGTACTGATTTCTTCTTCGAATAATCAGAGGACTTTTTTCCAACAAAAAAAGAATGATTTATGTTTTCCAGAAACGTTAAGCAGTTCTAAGACAAGTTTTCCTCAAGTAACAAAAATCGTCTGACGCCTTCCGACACCCACTAGAAAGCATTTTTACGCCGCTAAGAGGGAGTGTAATAAGCATGGTAAGTGGAACAGACGGATAAGACGGTACACCTGCTGGACTGTACCTCAAGTAAGATCGTTGTCAGTGAGCGAGAGTGGTGACTCTTTCCCATAAAATATCAATCGTACAAGATCATTTTGGTCCTAACTCATTGGTTCCTATAATTGGAGTTTGATCTTTGTCTATTCCGATTTCCGTCACACTTACCTTTATCAAATGCTTGGTGGAGTTAAGATGATCATTTGTGACCTCTACCGAGAAGAAAGGCGATGCAGGATAATATGTACTCTGTACATTCTGTAATACTCTGTAAATATCCCACGAAGACTTTTTCCAACTACCATTATGGCAGATGCTCCACGAGCCTATCTCTTGAATAAAATCAAGCATTGGTAATGGACCGAGCTTTTCAATTTGATTAACGTCCATGCATGAGTGATACAAGTCTCTCGTTTTCGTCAGAGCCTCGTTATGAGGAATGTCATGCAACATTTTTGACGTTTGGAGAAGGCCACGAATTTCACCCTCTATAACTTTAGATAGCTTGGTAAATGTGGAGTAATCATTATAACTTTTGGGAATTGGATTCCGTCGGATCCATCCACCACAAGAAAACGCAAAAAAGTCATCACATGGATCAACCGTCGAATCGATGGAACTTTTTATGTAATCGGCGACTGCGTGACACTCATGAGTTTGGCATACATTTTTGCTTGTAGTCTCATTGTGAACGTCTGAGAACAAGTAAACGGCGCGTTCCCGTCCTTGAACCGAACCAAGATTCTGATGAATATGGCGTGTGGTGACAAAGACCAGAATACCTATGGTACTTACAACGAGAAAAGCTGATATAATGAAGGTGTTCTTCCTTGTCATGATTCCGTGTTTTAAAGAGTCCGCTTAGTTGTATTAACTTTCCCTCTAAACTTTCGTCTGACGATAGTTGTTTTTTGTGTTATTAAATCAAGGCTCAAGAGACATTCGTTTGATGAAACCACTTACTGACGCAAGACAAAAATCGTTATATATGAAGTGGTGTTGCGGAAACTGTTGGATGACACCTGTTGATCCCAAAATACCTGCCATTCTATTTGTTTTATAGTCTTCAGTCAACCACCTGTTTACAACAATCAAGTTTAGTAATTGATCCATAAAAAATTGTATGAGTGCATGCAATGTAACCAGACGAGGGTCACGGAGCGAATTAACTTTGCAACACACAACACAAAATAGCACAATGAAACAGTTAGTCATCCTTATCTAGGGCTTGTGTCACGAGTTATTTCTTAAGTTCCAACTGAGGTAGCCCTTTTATTCAAAAATACATCATCTGTCACCATCTTCGGCCGACGTTCTAGTGAACAAAGCAACAAAATCCAAGATGAAATACATCATCCTTTAAATGCAATGCAGAGCGCCTCTAGAAATTCGAGACGTATTCAAAGCCACTGACCAACAAAATCGTAAATACGAATTCTCAAAATTCAAACTTTTCGCCATATTTTCCCAACTGTGAATTTCTTTCAATATCCGCATGGTAATATAGTTACTAGAACTCTCCCGAAGGAAAAGGGAGCTCCTAATCTCAATTCCCTTTTGATATTTTTAAAATACTTCCGTTAAGACATTGCACTATAATTCACGTAATGTCCATTTAAGTATAGCGATAATTTAGAGACCACTTCCAAACACTGAAAACCAACGGGGGAATATCCTCGGAATTGCCGTTTTGTAGTGAGAATATTGTTTATTGGAGCATTCGCACTTGCTTGTGAAGCTGTCCTGATCGACTTATGTCAGTCCTTCGCCTGTGGGGTACAAGGCTAAGCAAGTTACTTTTGGAATAAGTCGAGGTTTCCGACTTTGTGTTTTCTGTTTGATTTTGATTTCTCATCACAAGCTCTTATCCTTTGGTGTTGCACGAAAAACCGGTCTCCGCTTTTTCCTTCAAATTCGAGTTCGACGGGTGACTTACACTTACTATGATTGTCTATTGTCTATTATATATTATATTTTAGAAATGATACAGATTTGAAAGAAAACCCTGCGTAAGGTTTCGAAAATTGTCCGTTTACGATGGAGGCAAATGAAATCTAGGAAAACATCATTCCAATGCAAAAGTTTGCAGTTTAACTTTATTGGTTTTAAGAGACTGACAAATATCGATGCTGGGCGCTGGCAGAGGTTCGATTAAGAATTTTAAAAGAACACATCGCGTGAGGTAACTGCGAACGCGTACCGGGAAGTCGAATTTAACCACGCGATACCCCACACTAACCAGGAAGCTCTGAATCATTACACGTATCGCTTTGGTTCACAATAATTCTTGTACTCTTACGGATCCAGAGCCTTAATGACAGATCTCGATGTACAGGGTATTTTTTTAGGTAGCATTCATCACGGCAATTAAACTTATGAAATATGAGAGAGGCGAACGATACCTTTGTCCCCTATGTCGGTAAAGAAGCTACGTCAAGATTTGTGCTTCTTACCTTAAGGTTTTCAAATAAGACGTTTTCAATCTGTTTAGATCTAAGCCATTCCAACCCATCCTCGCATCTCTCGAGTTTATCCTCATCTCTTAGGTGTTACTCTATTCTAGCGAAGTTAAATTTTCAGTTTTCCTTCTTTCGAAAGATCATTCCGCACGACGCGGTAAATGATTTAATAAATAGTGACTAAGTTTCTGTCATTATAATATTATCCCCTTTAAAGGCTTTGCAGAGTATTCACCACATGTCTTAGGAAAAAAAGCACTCTGCATGATCTTGAACGTATCTCAGATTCTGAAGAAACATCAAGCCTCTGTAACTCGTTTGCACCTTGATTAGGAGACGATTCTGCCTCAGCATGTTCTTGAACTTTAGACATGTAAGCACTTGCTGATGTTAAGGACAACTCCTTGTTGTGGGTAAGAATCATGGCTATGTTACGTAGGACACGATCACCAAGTTCATTTGGTAACGGCTGCAACTGGAGAAATACAATTTGAATTGTTCGTGTTAAACAGAGATCACGTGAATCTCTAATTGACTTAAATTTTACCGTCTTACACTCCATGTAACACTACTAATAGGAATACAAGCATCCAATCGACTGCAAGCAGATTATAGTAGGACAAATACGTAATCTAAAGTTTTATACTAAATTAGGTGGAGCACTATTTCCTCAGCTATTCTTTCATCAAAATTTAACACATTATAATCGAACATTAATCAGCTAAGCACCACAGTAGCACGGATAAAAAATTTAAAGGTAAGCCCACGTCGCCAACATAAAACAGTAATAAATTGCTAGGTAGATTTTCACTCGGGGGTTTTTCCCTCGATACAGATCTGTTCTTCTACGTTAGAAACGCCACTGTTCTTCACAACTGTAGGTATAATTCGAAATATTACGAAAAAATTAAAAAAAAAAAAAAGGACAACAGCAAAAAAATAGGAATGCGGAGTTCTTAATTGTTGCCTAGGACAAGGTTTCTCCTCTTTGTTAGCAGATTGCTTCAGTTGACTCACAATTAATCTTTTGGGAACAGAGCAAGCCTATTTTTCATCTTTGGTTATCATCATTTTTTTTCATAATTTTTTTTCTGTTTTTAACAGATGTTGAGACATGTAGTTGATCTCATCAGTGTATTAAGCCTTGCAGCTAGTGCTGGAACGCGAAAAATTGCACAGATGCGCATATTTTACGTGCTCCTACCTCCTCAATTTCTTTTTTCTTTTTTTTCAATTTACAGATTACTTTATCTCGATAAGTAAATTGTATTCACAAATGATAACCTGAGTTACCGAACAGCAGTTTTCCGGTTACGAGTGCTTTTAGGGAAAATGCTCTGTGTTTTTTTGACAGGTTCTAGTTATGATCCATGATAAGAGCACTGTTAATAACCATTGGGGGTAACCTTTGGTAACTTTTCATCCTACCTTACACATGGTAGTAACGAGGCATTCTAAAGTGTCTCTTGTACCCTAAAAAAGAAACAAAGCATACAATAATAATAACACAAGAAAACAAGAACATCACTAAAAGTGCTAAAAACTAGCAATGCCAACAAAAACCGCTCAGCAGGCCTCTTGACTCCGTATTTGCAGATTCTCTTAACCTCTAGAAGATTGCCTTTTATTGTATTCAAGGTTCTACTAAGGAGGCTACACTGCTGATTCTTCCTTGGGGACCTGTTAATGTAACTGTGACAAAAGGAAGTGAACTCTTCTTGCTACCATTCCCTGGAATCTAGTTGATAATTTGGGACTACATCACAGGGCATTCCGAACTCAGAGTAAGGTTTTTTGTTGTTGCGTTAACCGTCTCTGAATTGAAGCGAGTCTTGTGTATGAACAATTTTCGAAAGTTAGATTGCTCTTTGGTATCTTGAAAGGCGGTGAGTGGTTAACTTTTATGTACACTTTTCGTTGGCGTTCGTGGAAATAAATGGTCAATTATGGTTTTTAGAACAAAAATCTCTTTTACGTCTGTCAAAATGGAACATGCGGGAGTCAAAGTAAATGAGGCCTGATGACTTTTCTCTTACTCGGTCAAGTTTCTTCACTACTCCTATGGGATCATCATATTGTTCCAGTAGTGACACCTCTTTCTCGCCCAGGACTGGTTCCTGTAAGAAAATACTGGGTAAGTCACATACATTGCTATAACAAAGAAAATTAAAACATATGACCCCTTTAATAGATAAAAACATTTTTTTTTATTCAATAGATACCAATTCAACTGGCTGATCACAACGGACCATAATTTAACATTGCGCTTTTTAAACAAGACTTTATGGGATAAACAAGGATTCGTAGAAATACTCACCACCAAACTACCTAACCAGGCCCATAAAAGACGAGTTAGAACCCACGGATCACTTTCAGTAAGAACTTCTTCCCAACAATCGAAGCTGTTAAGTTTCCTCTACATTAGAAAGTCAAGAAATATTAATGTATCACTAACAGGAATCCCGTAACGCATGTTTTCCACTGTAGTTGTTTCTATTAATGATGATATCAGTGATAATGATGATGATAACAGCAATAATGATAGTGTACATAGTAATAATCATATTAATAGTAACAACAGTAATGATGAGATTTCTAAATAATAATTATAACACCTATCAGCTCGTCGTGTTGTCGTAAATGTCCCCTTTTCCTTTACTTAAGACAACCAATAGATTTCTAGATATGAATTGGCTTCATCATTGTCTGTTGCAAACTTTAGGGAGACTGGAGTAATTCTTTGATAAGAGAATAACAATGAAGAAATGTAAAATGGTTTCCGTGTTTACATAGCCTGATGTAAAGATAAGCGTAGGAAACCACGACGCGAAGCGGAGTGGTTTCCAGCTTATCGAGTGGTTCTCCCAACCTCCTAAGTGTTTACATCAGGCTATGTAAACACGTAAACCATTTTACATTTCTTTTATAAAATAACTAATGAAAGAGGAACGAAAACCGTGTTTACATACGCTCATGTAAAATGGTTTTATGGCCAATCAGAGCGCACGTACTATTTGAATTATTTCATAAAAAATTATAACGAGGCAATTTTTATTATTCACCTTGAGGAACACTGCGGGAAATAACTCCCGCGAAACGCGTTCTTATTCTCGTTCACTACGATCATTTCTTTGAATTTAATGATGTATCTGTAATTTCTATCTTGTTTCAAAATTACTACTACTTTAAAAAAAAGGATCGCTTTCAAAATCCTTCAGCGAAGAAGTCTTACCCCGTATATTTTTTTGTGCAGGTAAAGTTGTAGTGACACATTACAAACCCCCAAAAATGTATGTTTCCCCTTAGAACTGTGGAGTGATAGTTTAAAGATGCATTCCGACGAATGGTCAATGGGACAAATTTCAATCGCGTTACTTC